GTTCTCTGACCAGGGATCGAACCCATGACCCCTGCAGTGGAAGCGCAGAGTCCTAACCACTGGACCGCCAGGGAAGTCCCCAGTCTATTCTTAAAATAGCTGCCAGACTGCTCCTTTGAAAACATGAGTCAAAGGATGTCTCTCTCTCTCTGCCCTATTACCTCTCATAGTTTCTTAATATCACTCCAAGTGAAAATTAAAGTTTAGATAACGGCCGATAGGTCATTCTTGGTTACTCCTCTGCCTCATGTCCTATTGCCTCCTGCCCCGTGCTCACTCTGCCCCTGTCACGCTGGCCTCGTTGATGGTCCTCAGTCATATTGCACAATGTCTGACCCCAGGACCGTTGCACCTGCTGTTCCCTCATGTCCTACTCCCTCATTGACCTCAGGTCTATGCTTACATGTCACCTGTTTATTGTTTGAGGACTTCCTGACCCCATTGTTTAAATGGCACTTGCATTGAACCCCTGGAATATTCTGTCCCTCTTTCCTGTTTATTTCTGTCTGTTCCATCTGAAGGCAGTATATTTTATTTATTTATCATAGTCATTGTTTGTCTCTTCCTTCAAGAATGTAAGCTCCAGGAGGGCGGGGATTTTTCCTGCTTTTTTGTTTTTGTTTTGTTTGTTTTTCTTTTTCTTTGTTTTTGCCACGCCATGCGTCATGTGGGATCTTAGTTCCCCGACCAGGGATCGAACTCTCACCCCCTGCATTGGGAGCATGGAGTCTTAACCACTGGGCCACCAGGGAAGTCCCCAGGTTTTTCCGGGTTTGTTCGCTGTTGTAGCCCAGCACCTAGGACAGTGTTTGGCACAAGGAAGGTGTTGGATCGGCTGAGTTATGAAAGCCTCCTGTCCGTTTGCTTGAGACCAATGACGTGGGACATCGTTTGTGACTGTCTTTGATGTTGCCCCCAGAAAGCTCTGAAACAGGCCAGGACATAATTTCATTTGCACTTATGCCAAGGCAACAGCATGTAGGGGGTCCAAGAAGCTCCCCCTTTCCAGTCTAGTCTCATCTAACAATATGCTCAGCACTTCCTTCTCCTTTCTAAAACATGCTCTCAGGGAAAAAGCTGAGAAAAGTTTAAGGTAAAGCAAATATGAAAGGGTAAAATGACTCATCAGCTTAATGTGTTTCAATTCCCAGGGAAATGTGTCTCTATACCAGGTTGAGAAAGGTAGTATATAATGAGTTCTTACTGAGTATCTGTGAGCGAAGCCACAATTGTGCTAGGTACTTTCCCTCTTTTTAATTCTTATTAAGCTGCCAGGTAATATTATGATTTTTATTTTAAACACAGACAAACAAAAGTTGAGAATGGCCAACTAGAGTATCCAAAGGTAGTGAGTAGCAGAACAGAATTTGAACTCAGATTAGTTCCAAAGCTCACATGCTTTTCGCTGTACCATTCTTCTTTCCTCGAGGAATGAAACGGAGGAGGAGAGGAAGGGGCCCTAAGCTGGAGGTCAAGAAAAGGTCCAGAAGCATGAATCTGTTTTCCACAATTCATCATATTCATTCTGTGTATCTATAGCTTTATCCACTTGTGACGAATCCCCTTTTAGAAAGATTTCCTCTTGGATGGGAGCAGAAGCGGGTTTCTGGTCAATCCTTGTTCAAATAGACTGTTCATTCCACTTTGCTTTTCTCTGGTCCCCACACTGTCTGTTCAAGAGTCCTGAGTAATCAAGTTGTTGCTCAGCCATCTTGTACACAGAAATTAAGTACTGGACAAATTGTGAAATTGTCTTTGGAATGTCTAACTCTAAACCTTTCTTGCCTCTGCTAAGATGTCCACGTGTATTAACACAAAGAATTCTTTCTTTATCCCTCCCCCAAGATGTGGTGAGTGTGTAGGGGTCAATTTTTAACCTGCATAAAGCCCTTGTTTAAAAATAAAAATTCATTTACTAAAAGGTAACTAAGATCATAATCAGGTTTGGAGGTTGATTTCTAAAGCCTCCTTAGCAACCAAAGTTATTGGTATCTATCTAAGAATCCACACTGTTAAACTGGAAAAACTCCACTAAGGAAATTGCATGCCAAGCTAGAGAGTTAATTGTTAACAAATTGATTCAAATGGGAACGAAGTCGTTTAAAAAATTTGGCTGGATATTCTTAGCCAGAAATTTCACTCACATTTAAAAGATAGAATTTAATTTTCATTATATGCGTAATATTATAAGACATTTGGCAAATAACTAAAAGATAAACATAATCTCGTCATAACTCATCATGATGCATTTCATTCTAGCCTTTTTTTCCTTGACCTGGGCATAATTTTTTAAAACATATTTTAATGATCACATATCTATATCCATCGTATTTTCCCAAGTGGCTGTCATTATAACCATTTAAGAGACAAAGTTAAATTTTCATTATAAAAGTAATAAATGTTGTTTTTAGAAAAGTTGAACTGTGATAAAAAAGAAAATAGAAAGGAGACAAAAATCACCCCTAGGCCCATCATCTAGAGACTTGGAGTGCTTACTGGTGCTGTATTTTATGCATGTTGTTGTTGGTTCCTTTCTAATAGTTGCATAATCTCCACTGAATGATTACACTGCAGTCCACCTAACCATTCCCCTATTATGGGAATTTAGTCAGTTTACAAATTTAGGTAAAAGTTTTTTCCCATAAGTTAGGTCTCCAGAATTATAAAGACTGAGTCACGGGGCACACATTGTCTTATGGCTATTCCCAAAGTGCGAGTCTTCTCTCCGGAAGTGCTGTCACATCGGGAGCGGTGGGGTATGGGTGGGGAACATTATCAGCCTGTAGTCTGCCTGCCAGCCTGTTTTTCACTCTGCATCCTTTCTCACCTCCTACGCCACCCGCCCTCCCACACTGTCTCGCAGATAATCATGCCGAAGGTGTGTGCACTCCTGGCTCTTGGCTTTGCTGTTTTCTGTGCTCTACACAAGGCAGAAATTGGTTATCTCTTCGTTTGAAGTTTCAACTTCAACGCTACGCGGGCGGAGCGTAACCATTCTCTATCATCAGGAGCCAAGAAGGATGACACTGCTCTTGGCTGCATTTAGGAGGTCACCTCTGTTTGCATAAAAAGCTTTGGAGCAACCGCTATCTCTCTGGCCTTCTCTCCTCCACATACTCTCTCTCTAGTCGGGACGCCCACATTGGGTTACCTGGTCAGGGGGTGTGTTCTCTGCAGCTGGTGCCCATAAATAATAGCTCCATCATGTACCCCTGAAAATCATGAGGAAGAAAGAGCAGGAAGGGTGCCTGCGTAGGAATGCTTTTTACTGTGTTTACTATACCCAGAGGTTTCATTTGGGGGGGCGTTTGGCATAAAAGCAATAACAATGATAAAAGCTGATATTTGAGGGATGTTCACCGTTACCTCTGGCAGGAAAGGCTGTGTGGTTAGAAGACCAACATCTGAGATTAGAGGAAAAGGGCCTCCCTCTCCAGCCACTTTTAACAGAGCATCTTTATCTCTGATTTCATTTTTTTACATGTTCCTTAACCTCTTCAGAGGTTTGTTGGGAAGGTCACAGAAAATAATTCTAAACTGTAAAGTGATATTCAGATGCAAAAAGGTATTGTTATTGTAATTACCCCTGTGCTCTTCAACCATATGCCACTAACCGTCAAGAAAAAAGATACACTTCTTGAACTACAAGGTCGATGAATTTCATTTCTTTGAAATTATAGAGTTATTCAAGTTAAACATTTTTTTCTGGGTACATTTTATCCATTTCAATGTTTGGGGCAACCCCCCCTTTTTTTTATTTTAATAAAGTAAAGAGGCTTGGTTTTCTTCACAAAGAACCGTACTGTCAATGAAATCAGACTTTTGAATAAGTAGCAGATGAGTACCACACATTCAAATTTGAGGACCAATTTAAGTAAATAGTTCTTCTTAAATGACAAACCCCATAATAACTAAAGTACCACCAGCTAAAGACATTGAAGTTGAGACATTTTATTAAGTGAGTATTATTTTTGTGGCGTTTAATGAATGCCTGTACATGAGCCTTCCCTTCTCAATGAGGCCTCATGTGTCCGCTCTGTTAAATACTGTAATCTCCCTCATTCCATCCCAGGACGGCCCGTTCCCTTCATCCTGCTCTGCTTGGTATTTTTTCCTTAGCCTTTATCATTATAATCATTATAAAATAATACACAAATCGGTTAGCTTTTATGTTTGTTGTTTGTCTCTTCACAACTTGAATGGAAGCTTTAGAAAGGAAAATACCTTTGTTTTGTCCACTGATATATCCCAACCACCTTGCAGAGTGATCAGTACCTAGTAGGTGCTACATACACATTTGTGGCATAACTTGAATGAAAAGTAATTATATAAAAATATGAATGATATTATACTGGATAATTTTAACTGAGCATTTACTAAGTACCTGGCAATGTGTTTGTATCATCTCATCCAATGTTTCCAACAAATTTATGAAGCGGGTACCATAGTACCACCAAATTACAGGTGGAGAAACTGACGGTTAGAAATGTGAAAGTACATTTTATAAGGTCTCGTAGCCAATATAATTAAGAACTTTGATTTAAACCCAAGAAGCCTGACTCCTGTGGACTCTATTCAAGCAGAACAATGTTGCTTGTTATTTATTGAGGTACTATTACTGAGATTCTGTGAGATGTCATTCAGGAAAGGAGGTTTTCCTGTGTAAATATTTTTGGCAACCACTGACCCAATGAAATCTTATGTTTGCAACTCTAAGCCCTGAGCAGATTTCCACGTGATTAAATTCTGTGGCATTTGAACTGTCTCCCGCACCTCTTGTGATTAGTTATTTGGTTTTGCAGAAGAAAAGGTAAACAACTTATGTAGTGTTGAAGACTTTCTTCTATTCTTATATTTAAAAAACAAAAGACAAAAAAAAAAAGAACTACTCTTCCTCATCTCTTCTCCTTTCGTTGTGTTTTGCTCTGGTTTTGAGTGTTTGGTCTGTGTCAATTCCAGTGACTGCCCCCTTCACATACTCCCTTACACCTGTTTTCTAGGAGAATGATATAAACCTGACCCACATTGAATCAAGACCTTCACGTTTAAAGAAAGATGAGTATGAATTTTTCACCTACCTGGATAAACGCAGCATGCCCGCTCTGGCAAACATCATCAGAATCTTGAGGCATGAAATTGGGGCCACTGTGCACGAGCTTTCCCGGGATAAGAAGAAAGACACAGGTAAGAGACAGCAATGTTGCAACACAGATGACCCTACATTCTCATCATAAAATAATGGCAAAAATAATCTCTACCGGGCTTGCCTGGTGGCGCAGTGGTTGAGAGTCCGCCTGCCGATGCAGGGGACACGGGTTCGTGCCCCTGTGGGAAGATCCCACATGCCGCGGAGCGGCTGGGCCCGTGAGCCATGGCCGCTGAGCCTGCGCGTCTGGAGCCTGTGCTCCGCAACGGGAGAGGCCACAACAGTGAGAGGCCCGTGTACCGCAATAATAATAATAATAATAATAATCTCTACCCTGGAAGACCAGGATTAAGTGAGAGGATATAGGTTAGGGACTCAGACGAGTACCTGGCATATTTAGACATTTAATAAATGTTCTTTTCCCCTTCCTCAAGATAGCTGTTTCTTATATTAGTTGTCTTCTGCTGCAATTTTCATATATTTTTCATTCGTGGATTATTTTGCTGTCAATTTCGTAATTTCTAGAGGTAGGATGATTAGGGTATCCAGGGTGCTTTCTATATAAAGATAATTTCGAGACAAATTCTTTAGTTACCTCCATTTCATCTCATAGCCTCTCCCCAAGTCCTTCTCATGACATGTCAATTCTGGAGCTGGAGCTCCTTGGCTCTGTTCTTAGGTCTTTCACTGTCTCTCTGTCTCTTCCACTAGATTACAAGCTCCTTGTGGGCAGGGAGAGTCTCTTACCTATGTTAATATCCTCAGAGTTTAGTACAGTGCTTAATACACAGCTCTCAGCAAATGCTTGTGAGTGATGGCCAAACAGAGCAGTTGTCATGACTTCTTCTGCCCCCTTATTTACTTACTGAAACTGCTACTGAGTCCAGACTTGTTCTGCTCGGGTCATGTCAGGCCAATAAATCAGGAGACCAGTTGTTAGGGCAAGGAGTAACGACTTTATTCAGAAAGCCCTCAGACTGAGATGATAGCAGACTAGTGTCTCAAAGAACCATCTTACCTTATCAAATAATTCAGACCTTCTTTGAAACTAAAAAGGCGAAAGAGTTTGTTTGTTGCAAACTTCTTGGTGCAGGAATCCTTTGTTCTTGCAGGTGTCCACACAGGTCAGGTCATGATATTCCTATAAACCTCCAACAAAACAAATACTATTCTCTGTTCTGCAACTAGTTATCCCTGTATGTATGAACTCTTAAAGGTCAGAGCCCTGAGAATAGGCTATCCTGTATATTTCAGGCTATAGGCAACATTCTTTTACAAAACGTGCCAAGCCATCATGACTAAGCACAAGCAACAGAGTACAAAGGTTAAAGTAAGAGAAACAGCTCTAATATGGAGTCAGATTTGTTCTTCCCTATGACAAAATGTAATTGATATGCCCTGGAGGGGAGTAGGGCGGTAGAGCGAAGGGATTAGGAGTATGGGCTTGGGGTTGGACAGGCTTCAGTTCAAGCCCTACTTTTTCCACTTATTGGCTTTGAGACCCTTGACAAGTCTCTTTAACTGCTCTGACCTCAATTTTTCATAGGGCTTTTGTGAGGACTAAATGAGATCTTCTATAGTCAGTGCTTAGAACAGTGCCCAGCTGGATAAATGAGCGTATGTGATGGTTGTTAAACTGGTGAGCCATGCTAATACATTATTATTAACTAAAGGCTATACATTAGGGATCATGCTTTGTATTGCGTAGTTCTGTTGGTTTTGGTAAATGCATAATGTCATGTATCCACCATTACACCTCATGCAGAATGGCTGCAATGCCCGAAAAGTGCCCTGTTCTCCCCCTGTTCATCCCTCCCTCCTTATCCCCTCCCCCTGGCAACCACTCATCTTTTTGTCTCCATGATTTTGACTTTTCCAGAATGTCATGCATTATGAATATGGAATCGTAGAGAATATATCCTTTTTAGGCTGTTTTATTTTTACATTTAGCAAGGTTCCTCCATGCCTTTTTGTGACTCGATAGCTCATTCTTTGTAATTACTGAATAATGTTCCATTGTATAGATGTACCACATCTTGTTTATCCATGGGTAAGGCTGTTAAACATTCATGTGCAGGTTTTTCTGTGGACGTAAGTTTTCGACTCATTTAAGTAAGTACTTAGAAGTGTGATTGCTGAGATGAACTATTTTTTTCCCATATAATCAAAAACTTTTTTCTACTGTAAAATCAAAAGCTTTTTTTCTTGCCAAAACATTGACGACCAGCTCAAGAGGATTTCAGGCTCTGTACCTGAAAATAGTATGTTAATAGGCAGAGATGCTTTACAATGAGACAAGACCCACCTCTTTGCATAGGCCATTGAAACATTTTCCAAAAGACACCTCCGAGGCCATCCTAGGAGACCTCCTCTCTTCTTGCTCGTGTCCTCCTGTGGCTGTAACCAAGACAAGGAAGTCCATCCTGGGCTTCTGCCTTGGCCAAGGGTGCGCAGCGATGCACAGGGTCTCTGGTCACTGGGGGCGCGTACTTGGAATTCCTCCTCAGAATAACCCTATCTGCCTTCCTTCCTCTTCCACCTCCCAAGTGAGCTGCTGCCCTGATGACAACGGACTTCTCTTGCTTTTCCGGCCACCTGCTCCCAACAGGGGCCACAGGCCCTCAGGGCAAAGGGCCTGCTGAATCGTGGGTCAGGCTCTGCCTCTGCTCAGAGCAGGTAGAGGCCAGGCCAGCTGGGGCCCTGGGGTAGGAAATCAAAGCAACTGACAGGCAGGCAGGCAGCCCCCTGGGGAGGCAGGGAGGATGCACAGAGATCAGCTGAAGGGCTGGCAGCCTGAACGGGAGGCTCCGAAATAGGATGTGGAAGAACAGTTAGGAGCCCAGACTCCGGAACCAGGATACACACTTGGTGTGACTTTGGGCAAATTACTGATCACCACAGTCTATCACTGTATCAGATGGGAGTACGAGTCTCTGCCTCACAGGATTAATGAAATAACACCAGTGGAGCATTGAGAACAGCACTGAGCATGTTTAAGGGCTTAACAGAAGTTCTCTATTCTTAGCATTATCATCCTTGTTATTATAAATTATGACCTGAGCACGGGAGCCATGAAAAGCCAGCCCGTACACAGCTACGTTTTCGGAGATTCTGGGAACTAGAAAATAACCTCACAGGTCAGGCGGCCCAACAGACTCCTTAATTTTTCATCATAAAAAATGGAGGCCGTGACTTGCCTTAAGGCACAGAGTGAATTCTGTGCAGCTGTGGGCAAGCGGATGTCTAACACTGCTCTGTACCTGGCACCATGCTTGGAGCTGGAAGGAGAGAGAGTCAGCACGGCCCGTCCCTCGTGAGCTCATAGGCTGGCGAGGATGACAGGACAGCCAGGTGAATACAGAAGAGGGGCGGGCGCTGTGATGGAGACACGGCTGGTGGAATTGGGCCTCTTCTCCACTTTTGACTCTGAGGACCCAGCAAGTGTGAAAGTGAAGAAGCCAACGTTCTGACACAGAGGCACCACGTCACCAGTGTTGGGCTCGTCAGAGGTGGAACGTGGCACAGGTTTGATTCCCTGGTGGGGCTCAAAATGGCAGGGCGTTGATGTTTAACGTTGGATTGGTACTTTACCTAGTGAGAAAAAACTGCTCAGACTAACCCTTTAAAACAACACGTGTTTCTCGACCCTTATTGCTTTGGATGGTTGTGCACTCTGTCCCATATTGGCTGCCACTCCCTGACACGGTTTCCTGACCTTCATGTCCACGTAACGGACCGGCTGATCTCCACGCAGTGATGCTGAAACAGCCCAGTTTTGCACCTGCTGAGAGACACGGGCCCTTTGGGTGTCTGGGGTAGTTTTTGTGAACTGGAATCTGGGCCCAGAAACAGACCTTTTTAAGGGAAACAACCATCCCTTTGCAGAGTTGTTCTTTCCGTCCAACTCCGCGGGAGGATGATTAGAAGAAGAAAGGCATCATCATAGATCCGAACCTTTGATTCTTTCACTTGACAAAATGCCCTTTCTATTGAGGGGCTCAGATCTCAGGGGCGGGTCTGACAGCAGGTTGAAGGGGAGAGATCTGAACCCCTCAAATCAATTAGGCTAAACCACTTTCCATTCTAGTTTTCAAACCGTTCAAAAGGCCGTGTGGGCGCTAGAAAATGAAAGTTTTCAGTTTCTTAATTGCTAAAGTTCCCCACCCAAAACAGCTTAAGGGAAGGCTAATTATGGTGACATGTTAAAGAAACCCCAACCTTCTAAAATGCCTCCTAGAGAAGCTGATGGGAGTTTAATAGGATTTTAATCCAGAGAGTCTTTTGAATACTTGAGGTCTATTCTCCGGCTACCCTCTCTCCTGATGACCTCAAATCCTTCTTCAACCCAACATGAAAGAGCATTAATATCTTCCATCGATCAATCTACTAATCCTTTTACATTTCCCTTTGAGTCTTCTGCATGACATTACATTGAGCGGGGGGGAATGGAAAATTCCTACATGGAGGCAGATTGCAGCCAGGAGCAGCAGATGGACAAAATGACTTGGCTAGACAGAGGTGTAGGATCATCACCTTTTGAGAAATTTATCCGTTTGGCGTTATTTTCCAAGAGCAGTTGGCCATTGAGTAGATTTCGTTCATGCTGTGGTGGTGATTGTAAGGGTCTTGCTGTGGCAACAAAGGGAGTCCAGACTGCCAGGACAACTGTGATTTTCTGTGGGGAGTAGAAAGGCTATTTATTTTTTTATTCATCTCTCTATCTACTACCTATATCTAGCCTAGGGGCTTTTATGATTTTTATTTGTCTTCTTATTTGGATTAATTCCTAAAGCAATGATTTAAGTGGAGAAGACGAAGATTTAATTGTGAGACGACAAAGTAACATCATTATATTTATTCCTTCCCTCATATATGCCCCTCTCCCCTCCCAGCCCTCTTGAGTTTTTCCCTCTTCTGCTTCAACATTGCTGCCGTGAAAGGCAGTGCCACGATAAGGCTGCAGTTTCAGATCCATCGTGGGAGGGAGAAGGATAGGGTTCCTCGGAGGAGTCTGAAAAGCCCCTGGGATTTTGGGCAA